TCTCTGTCATCAATGCAAGTTCCAAGAGAAGCTTCCTTGAGGAAGTAGTTCTTGGWAAGACTAAGGTACAGTTGCACACCCAGGAGGACTGTATGCCAGCTCTCTTTTTTCCTCCACTCCAGCCGTGGTGAAACTGGTGTTGACTGCAAGTTTTCTAATTCCACAGTTTCTCCATTTTATTGCCCAGGGGAGAAGCCCTAATCATGTGGAGAGCTGAGCCATAGTCAGTTTCTTCCTCTAACCCAGTACCCCTAATCCTGAGAGTTGGAATGCACCAGGATTCTTTCCTCCAGGGCTCTGCTCTTCAGAAGTCAATCTTCCCAGGAATGGGGATGTAGATCAGTGGTAGAGTACTTGCCTAGCAAACCCTAGGCCCTGGTTTCAATCCCTAGTGCCACAAAAGAAAAAGAAAAACTCTTACAGATGATCCATTGGTGAATATTGGACTGGACAAACACCAACTTATCAGAAGGGTGATATAAACACAAGATAATCTTTAGAACCATGGTCTGGATATGCACTGATGCATCTAGAACATTTTAATATGTGGCTATTAAATGGATATACTTTCTGGCTTATTGGGGGACACGTTTCTTTTTAATTCAATCCAGAGTCATTTCTTGTCCTTGGGTGGAGAATGTGTGGAGCCTCTTAGAATATGATCCTGGAATATGGTGAATAGTCAAGGGAAATAAAAATCAAAGAAGAGCCAAATGTTGATTGGAAAAGAAAATGATGTGGGTATCATCAGCATATGGCCCAGGGTCTTCACTCTGTCAAGGTCATTTATGGTCTAATCCATGCAAGCTGGTAAATCTTTGAGCCCCCTTCCAGAGTGGAACAGCAAAGTAAGGATCTGAGGTAGGCAGCATATTAGCAGAAGGATCTTTTGCACTTGCTGGAGAGAAGACACTGGAAATCTCTGGGTTTTCTTTCCATGAGAGACTGGCAGAGTACAGTGTTGGTCCTTTGTTGTATTTGAGGCAGTTACGGTAATCTACCTCTTGGAGACTGAGGACTGGAGGCCATGGGAGAGTCCACTTCTTTCTGTGTGTCTTCACAGGTTCATATACTTCCCTTATCAATTTTGCTTGAAAAACAATACATTGACCACTGGTCTATGTTTTGGTTCTCTGTTATTCAGGCTAGATAAACCCCATGGCCTAATCATCTCTTCAGGAAAATGCCAGAATTGAATTCTGGATCTGCAGAGCAATGGTTCAGCTCTAGGAGTCCTTGGGACCTCAACAAACTAGCATCTGCATTCTGAGCAGCAAGGTCTTGAGAGAGCCATGATGCCTCTTATTCACATTTCTAAACTGACAAGCCATCTCCCTCTTGGTGCCTGCTGTTACTTAAGATGGTTCTGGTCACTCTGGTCTCTGTCAGGTACCCCTTTCCAGTAGTATGGCCTACAGTTCTGGCTGGACTCAAGTTGTATCTTTGCTCCTCCATCTCCGTGAGCTAGGTGGCCCAGGGCATGTTATACAAATCTCCCTGTGCTTTAGTTCCCCTTCAGTATTTCAGTGTTCACTGGGATCCTCCTCAGGGCTAGACACTAGACACCATTTGAAGGATAGATATAGGAGCTGGATCAAAATATCTGGGACAGGGTGCTTATGCTTCCACAGTTGAATGCTTGATCCAGGTTACTCATCGTTAAAACCAGTTCATATAATAATATCCATTTCCCAGTGGTTGTGGGGAAGCCTAATTATCACTTGTGAAATGTTTTCAAGTTCTCAGAAGAAAGCTGATACATCATGGCAAAGTATGACTCTTACAACCATGATGCTCCCAAGCTTGCCCTGGGGGTAACCAGTATAAAATTGCCATTCATGAAACTCTGCTATTGTGACAAAGCATGACGATTATCCATAATGATACTAATGTTTAAGGTATTGCTGTGCTCATGAAAAACTCTTAAATTGACCAGAAATTAAGATCTTAGACTAGGAAACCTGCTGTGAGGTTGTCCTGCTTTTGGAGTAAAAAAAAAAAAAAAAAAAATCTCTGAGCTTGGCAGTACCAGCTTGCAACAACATTCTTTAAGCACCTAACATGTACTAGGCAGTGTGTAATACATGCTTTCATTCAATTTTCCCAACAAGCTATGAAAGGCAGTTTTATTATTTCCTTTTTGCAGAGGAGAAAAACTGAGGATAAAGGTTGACTTCCCCAAGAAAGATGAAACTGGCACTTTTAAGTAGGATGACTGGGAGTGGAGGATGAGGCCAGTTCTGAGGTGACCACAAAGTCTAAGAGGGAGCCAAGGAGTACCTGAAGTAGGTTAGGAAAGTGAGGATGAGTTGCACATTTCCAGTTTGGGCATTCCCTGAATAGGCCTGCTGCCAACGGAGAGAAGGAATTCAGGAAGGGAAGACACCACCAGGGAGGGGAGATTTCTTTGGTACTAGGTAACATGAATTTGAGACAGCCAGCATATCTTGATGTGCTATCCTGGGGCTTGGAAAGGAAGTTGATATTCGTACTGTGGATTCATTGACAGATCTGACAGGTGAAGCCTGGGATAGGATTGTCAAAATGCAAAGTCTTACTAGTTGCTCCTAGCTCCCCGCCATCCGGGCTGAGTAGTCACTGGGGAAAATCTCCAGAAGGCGGCAAAGGCCTAGGGGACAGGTCTCTAGGAAGACTTCACCGCACAACTCCTGGACGGTGAGCTCGCCCCCCGCAGGCCTCCACCCAGTCAGCATTCCCTTGCGTTTCTCCGCTCCTTCCCTCGGGGCCACCTCTACTCCAACCTCCAGAACCCGCAGTCGGTTCCATTGGCTGCTTGGGGACCGAGGACTGGGGGCCGCCCAGATGCCGGGAACTCAGGGCGAGGCTCGGGCGCATGCGCAGCCGCCATACGGAAGCCCGGAAGGAGGGGTGGGGGGCGGTGGCTCAGGTTTCTCAGGGCGGCGGCGGGGACGCGCCTGGCGTTGGCACCATGAATCCGCTGTAACGCGCAGGCTGCGCTGTGCGGGGGGAGGGGGGAGAGGAGGACTCCGCGGTGTAGTTCTTCGCCATGAACCTGAGGGGCCTCTTCCAGGACTTCAACCCGAGGTGAGGCGGCGGTGGCGGTGGCGGCGGCGGCGGCGCCGGTGCCTCCGGGAGTCCGCGCTGGGGGCTTGGGGGCAGGCTGAGGCTTGGGCTCCGGGTAGACGCGGCAGTTGTGATGCTGCATCCCGAAGACCTGGGAGACTGCCAGAGTGTCCCTGCGGGTGACAGCGGCTCTCTGGGAAAGCAGTGGGCCTCAGCACCCATCTTCCCGCTTCTCCTCCAGTGCCAACTAGAACCACCCGACCACGGCCCAAGGCGTCCGGCCCGATCCCTGTCCTCCCCAAAGGAACCCCATTTTTCTCCTCTTGCCTTCCCTTATTGGTATCCCAACGTCCCCTTCTCGGTTCCATGTTCTCTCAACCCACCGCCTGCCCTCCATTCTCTGTGCCAGGGCCATCTCACTTGACCCAACACCCCTACACCCCAACCACAGCTGTTTCCTTCAGTTCTTGTCAGCCCTTGAGGTTTTTCTTGGATTTATACCCATCCCTTGTTTGTTTGATGCTTTGTTTATTCGATATCTGAAACATGATTGAATCCTTGGAGTCCATATCAGGGTATGGCAATACCTTACATAATGCCTTTGGGGGCGAGCCTGATTTTCCATACGCGTTTTCTCATCGGTCTTCACTATAAGTTTGTTTGCAGGAAGTAAATTTTGCTGTCCTTATTCCCCAGATGGGGAACACCCAGTGGACAGTGTGGAGAAAACACTGGCAAAGGAATCAAGTGTCTGTCCTTGCACTTGTCCAACTGTTCGGTAACTCTCTGTTCCCTCCCCCAGGCTGTGTGTTCCCTGAAGCAGAGACTTCCTGCTTTCCTCCTTTCCCCCAGCACCTTCTACCCCTGGAACATAGTAGACACATATGAAATGTCTGAAGAACTAAACTGAACCAAAAGTCCTGTATTGGAGACCAGGCCATATGTAACCTGGTGATTCTTTGCACTTCTTTGACTCATCTATAACATAAGGGGTTGGCCTAACTGATCTCTTAATTCCGCTGCTCTGTGGATACTTCACAGATGTTTCCTATTTGCAAGTGGGAAGCCATGCACTTAATAAACCATTTGTGTGCTAGGTCCTCTGCTCTGTACTTTGAATGCTGGGCTGTCTCAACTTGGGGGTGAAGGAGGGAACCCCATTTTGTTTTTAAGTGTGTATTGTGGGCACACCTCGTAAACAGGCAACTTTGTACTGTGCAGTACTGAACTGTGGAAGCCCAGTGGAAACTATTGCTTGCTTGTTGGGGATGAAAGGAAGTCTTGGGAAAGTATTTCTGTATGATGGGGGTGCAGTCTCCTTAGGAATGGTGAAATTTAAAGCCATAAACCATCATGGCTTCTTAGATACTCTTATTCTTTGAGTTCATATTCTGATCTTGAGTGCCACTGTCCCTGTCACAGTGTAGTCATTATCATTGTTGGTCTTGAAGGCACTCCACATAGAGGAGCATATTTATAATACATAACAAAACTAACTGCAGTCCCTTCACTTGCTGCTTCTAGGAGTAGGGATTGGTGTGCAGGGAAATGGGAATGGTGCTGGGGTTGGACATGTTTTGTGTGTCTTCATTGTTTGGAGAGGGTGATAAGAGAGATAAGTAAAAGCCTAATTGTTTTTTGTCCTTGGGCAACCCACTTATCTGTCTGTTTAATCTGTAGAATGTGTATAATCTCTAAGTAGGATAGTGAGGCTAGATTAATGATTGATTGCAAAGTGCTTTACAAATAGAAAGTTCCAAGGCTTGTTCCCAATGTGACAGATAATCCAGAAATCACAGGGAACTGCCTCAAGTGATCTAAAAGGCTAACAGAGTTGCCAAAGCAGAACAGTGCTACAATGAAAACACCCATAACCATTTTTCCTTTAGCTTTGTTTTTTTTTCTCAAAATACTAATATCTGGGAATTATCATGAAATACTCTATCTAAAGAGATTTATGTTAATCTTCAACTTTTATCAGTACCTTAATTCTACCTGAATTAAAATGCATCTCTGCCTGAAAAGTTTCTTTTTTTTTCCTCTGAAAAGTTTAAAGGTCTTTTTTACTGCACTTTTTTCCTGAAAGTCAGTGTTGTTAACAGGAAATAGTAGTATTACCTTACAGAAATTTCAGTAAGACATGGGCCAAGTAATATTGGCAAGTTATTTCTTTTTAAGCATGTATTGTGGGCATACCTCGTTTCTAACTTCTTTCTTTAGTTCCAGACAATTAGAGAGCAAACTGAGGATGTAGACAGGAATATGCCTTTTGCTGGATCCTTAGATCTTGATGCTGCTGCTTTGCTCCCTGCCTCTAATTCTGAGCCAATTTAATCTCTCCCTCCTATCCCAGGACCTTGACACACACAGTTTTCTTCATCAGGAATATTTCCCTCTCCTCGTGATCTAGTTAATTGCTATTTATCCTTCAGATCTCTGGTCACTTGGTTCTTGCTGAGGATAGACTTCTTAACTTCCCAACCAGGGCCGCTGCTGCCTGTTTGAACAATCTTTGTAGTTTACCACATTCCTTCATCATGACAATTACTTGCATTTCTGTGCTATTTGATTGCTACTACTCTCTTCTACTATAAGCTCTGTGGGGCCAAGGTCATTACTATACCATTATTATACCTTGATATAATTATTGAACCAATATTTGTAGATTAAATGAGTGAATAACTCTCCTGAGCCTATAAGAGCTATCTAGAGCTGCTGTTTCAATCACTGTTTTCCTGGTGGGCCTGTGGCCTGATTCTCTTTCCTATTACCCTCTTCCTGCCTTCAGAGTTTAGCTATTCCATAGGAGACATGGGAAAGTCCTTGAAACTAAAGCAGAATGTGGCTGCCTTTCTTTGCAGATTATATATGTGACACAACATTATTTACTAGCATGTTTTGGTGGTTTCCAAGACATGGGCTGTGGCTCCAGATCTCTGTCCTGCCTTGTAGATCTTGGTGAATCTGAAACCACTGCAGTATTTCTGAAGCTCTGGAAACTGCAATGACAGAGAATTATTCACAAGTGTTAACACTAAGTTGTGTAGGGCTGCATCTGACCCTCTGCCTATTTCCATCTGGCACAAAATGGTTGATTGTGAACTTTTTTCCCCCATAATTGCTTTTTAGTTACACAGGTTAAGACTTGATGAAAGAGACACATTGGACCACCAAGAAGTCCTTCCTTTGAATGTTCTACACTTCCTAGCAGCTAGGGGTCTATTCCTAGACTAAATAAGCTAATAGAACTGCAAAATTGGCAAACCCTGATTCTGGGACATTCCCAAGGGTTAGGGATCTGGGATTGGGTGGAATTAAATGAGTACCCTGCCAAGACCATGAGGCCTTGAGATTTTCTACCTCCTTGTTAGAGTTGCTGGCTCAGAAAAGACCCTTCAGCCCTGGTAGCCAGGCAGCTATGGAAGAATATAAGAACTCTGCTAGGCCTTTGAAGTTGTCCACAGCAAGCTCCTGGTGGAAATATTGTGCATCTCTCATGTGTGCTACACTATAAAAAAAAAAAGACTGAGAAATGCCCCTCTGAGGGTTCTGTAGTGTGGGTGTAGAGTACATGTTGAGGTCAGTAGTGTTTGGAAATTTCTCTGTGCTGCATCTTCTAAAGTCCTCCTATCCCTTACTTAAAGTCAGGAAAACTGAATATAATTGTTGATAGCATAGTTCACTAAAGGTCTTTAAGTGTTGTTTGCAAAGTCTAATTAAAGTATTAATACATGGAGCAACTCCCAAGTTCCTACTATGTACCAAAAGATGTGCTAGGTGCCTTAAGTACAAGAATAAATGGGATGCAGTCCCTCTTTCGGTGCTCAAGCCTAGTGAAAGAAACAAATGGAAAGAGAAATAAAAAAATCAACAAAGTGCAAGGCATTACAGAGATAAGATCCAAAAGCCACAGGAGTACAAAGGGTAGAGCCACTGTGTAGAGCAGACAGGGAATATTCCACAGTGAAAGTGACTTTTAAGCTAGATTTTAAAGGATGATTATTGGGTTTTATCAGACCAGAGGACAGGAATAGTATCTTAGAAAGGACAAAATATGCAAAGACATGGGGCTTTGAGAGGGCCTAGAATGTTCAGACAGTGTAGAAAGGTCATTGTGGTTTGAGTTCTACAGACAATACCTGCCCTGTATTATAAAAATACATAGTGTCAGTCACTGCAGATATTCTCTATGAATTGTATTTTAAAAGCAGGTTCCTAATCCATCAGCATGAGTGCAATGTCAGTATTGTCAGTGAGCTTACTACTCATCACCCAAATGATTATTGTTCTGTCATATAAAGCCATTTATAGTCAGAAAATTGTCTTAAATTTACTGAATTTATGAACAATAGCTGTGATTTATTGAGTTTTAGTTAGCAGGCTCATTTTAGAGTCTTAGAGAGTTTGTGCCTTCCCTAAAGTTATTAAGGTATTAAAGGGCCAAGTTGTAATTCTATTCCAAGAGAGTTTCCTTCTGATGTCTATGCTCTTTCCTGCATGCCATGCTCTCTCTCTAGTTGAGTGACAGTCCTTTTCCCCCATGACACATTAGTTCCAGTATACTAAGAAACCTTCTATTTATGAGTTATAAGTGATTAGTCAAAGCAAACTTTATATTCAAGATTATATATCCAAATGAGTATTATTATTCAAAGAAGTTACTGGGGCGCAAAAAGGATATATGCCCCTTCCATTGCTCATACTACTTGCTACTCATCTCTAATTCCCTTTAGAGTCAGTTTTACAAATCATATAAGAAAAGCTGTCTTATTGCATTATAATCATATATCATTTTGAACCAAAATAGTTCCACCTAGTTTGATCACACATCGTATTCACTAAACTTGGTTCTGGCTGGCTTTTGGCAGTTTCCAAAAAATCAAATCCACTCTCGGTGAAGATTTGGCACCATTTAGGATATTCAAATGAACAGACTGTAGACTCTCAGGGTGCTTCTAAGGGGAAAGCTTCAAAGACAGTTTGAGCAATGACATATTGCTCTGCCTCCCAAGGAGGCTGGA